ACAAGGACATCACAAGAGGTTTGGCACCGGTGGCATGGGTGTGTGTCCTCACCAGCCTGAAGCACCAGGGCAAACTGTCCCTGCCTTCCATAAGGGCGTCCTGATCCTGTCACCTAGGTCAAGCAGTCCCTAGGTGTAAGGGCATCCACAAACCCTTCACAGGTTATGAAAACTCACTTTTCCATGTCTCTTGGGCGTGACCTATCAGCAGAACAGGAATGAAAACCCTGAGGACATAAAAACACCCAGGAAAGAATATTAAATGCCCCTTACCACCAGGCATGGCTTCATTTTCCCCTCCAATACAAGGTTATCCTCCGATTTGGCAAGGTGACAGTTGCCAAAGGAAGAATGATATCACCCTGCCTTCTCTCTTCAACCTTACCCCTTCTTTGTGCCCTTCGCATGCCTTTCACCATGGGAAAAGGAAGAAAGCAAAGTATTATGCTTTGAGAGGTCACTGGGAGCCAGTGCATGAGCAGAGGTGGCTCTCAAGGGTCCCATGCCCCCAGCCACACCAGTCCCCTGTCCCGGGGGGTACCCCAGGAAGAGCTCCCCAGACCATTGCTTTAGCAGCTCCATCCAGCACCACCTAGACCTGCCATCCAGTCTTTGGCAACATGCTATCATCCTCTAACATGCAAAAGTATTCTTACTTCCTACATTATTTTTTTTTTCCACCACTCCATAATTTCTGATTAAAAACAATAAAAAAAAAGTACCACCAAAATGCCATTTTCCTGGGTTTCACCATCTTTCAAACCTAACAGCATGGCAGCCCTGTTTACCTGCACACTCCCCTGAGCCCTCAGTAGGGAACTCCTCACTTTCCCACTTGTACAGCCAAGGGATTAGACCAAATTAACTCACACTTGGAGCTGCAGCAGGATCAGGCAAAGCCTGGTTTGGCTATCTCTCTTTAGCCTACATCTTGCAAACAGAAGGGCTGGAAACAATTTTGCTTTAATTGCTTTTTACAATGCATCCAGCAGATGGTTTGGTAACCCGAATTCATGACTCTTTCCACAGCTCCAGGCTGCTGGCTTGGAAACCAAACTCAAGAACGACCCAGGTAGCGAGGGACCCATCCTGCCTGCTTTACCAAAGTGCTGACCACGATGCCCAAGGCAGGGCTGGCTGAGAGGGACACCTGAAGGCTGCCAGGACATCAGCTGCCTTTGTTGCATGTCCTGTCTGCAATCCCCAGCCACCAAAACCAGCGGAAAGTTGTCTCCATTTCTAGCTGTTGGTCTCGGCACTTGGGCAGCCCAGGGCTGGCAGGGACATTAAGCAAGCTGGTGTCCAGTCCCAAGTGTTATTTTTGGTTGGATGGGCTCTAGGTAACAGGCTGGCTGCTCCTGAAGAGCACTCACTCAGCATAGGACAGCCAGAAATAAGGGACAATTTGCAAGTGCACCACAGCCTGTGGTGTCAGGGCCATCACGCTCAGAAACACCCCGGAAAGCCTGGAGAGCCCATGAGTATATAAAATATGGTCTGCAGCTTCCCTGGAGAGCACGGCCCAGTCTCTCCAGGGCACGGGGAGGGGGGGGGACATGCTCTGCCCACACGTCCCTTCGTCAGTGGTTTATTCTTCACGTGTAGTCCCTACCTCTCTATGAACACCTACGTGCTCAGCATCCCACAGTACTCGGCTGCAGAGCTTTGCCCCAAAACCAGCCACACCGCAGTGCTGAGGAATTAAGGCTGTCCCGAGAACCTCGCAAACGTCTCGTGAAGCAGGCTTGTTTTTCTGTTACAAAGTAATTTGAAATTCTTGGAAGGCAATCAGGAAAGTACAAAGTATTCCAGCTCAGGACAGCCTGGGACTCATTCCTTAGAGGCACAATGGTTGTTTACTCAATCCCTCATACATTAATATCTAAAAATTCATGAGTTCAATTGTAAACAAAAAGTACTGGCTTTACAGTGTTGTCTATTTAACAATAGTGGTTCCAGCCTGAATGCTGATTTTGTTGTTATCTTTCTTCTAATCTTGCTATCAGAGGGTCAAGATCTTGCAAAATTATGGGAAATATTTCAAGCCCATTTATTTCTGGTTTTGAAACACATCCCTCTGAAACCCAAGGCCAAAGAAAGACTATTTCAAATCAACATCGAAGAGTACAGGCAGGGAGAAGACCTCTTTGTGCCAGCACTGTCCTCTGGCTCAAGAACAAATGAGGAAAAAGCCGGCCACGGATATATTTGTGCTGGAAATCTGTAGAAGATTCCTGACAGTTGAAAGGGAAGGTCCCCAAGGTACTCTAAGGGGACCAGTGGACACAAAATAACCCAAACGCAACCTGTTTCCAAGACAAAGCACAGCTGGTTTCTGGAAACATTTGTACCAGTGGGTTGCCTGCGGTGAGCAGAGGTCTCATCTGCATTCATCAGCCCAAGGACTCTAAACCCAATGGTCCAGGACTCTTCCCAACACTTCATCTGAGGAAAGCCTCTGAAACTGCATCCTGATGGCAAGCTGCTGAGTCCAGAGCCTCTCCCAGAAGGAGTTGTGGGGGGATGAGGGTGGAGAACCTGCAGAACGGACATGGTTCAGAGCTCATTGGGGCTCATCTCTCCTGACTGGCACTGCCACAGGCCCTTATCATGGGAGGACTGTGCAGCCTCGAGCTCCCCAGCTGGCCCCACTTACAGACCTCTCTCCCTTTTGGGTCTGATGCTTGCCAGAGGGAGCAAGCCGAGACCATGGCTGTGGGCTCCAGGAGGTTCACCAGGACATTCACAGCTAGGATGGTGGCATTTCCTGGCTCCTTTGCCATCCTACATAAACACATTGCTGTTTCAGTCATTATTGTGCCAGGGAACATGGTTTTAGCTCAGCTTTCTCATTCCTCCTGAGCAAGAGCTACTTGTTTAGGTAGCCTAAACAAGATGAGATCCATCCCTCTTGCTTGCAGAGTTAGAGCAGATCAGCCAGCTCCAACCCCAGTGCCTTGCTGCACTTGTGCAGAGCTCAGACACCTCCACACAAGCCTTTGCTCCAAACGGGTGAGGAGAAAAAAGTCAAAGAGTACTTTCTTGGGTGATCACACGGCTGTGTGTTAAACCCCAGCTGCTTCTTCTGGGGAGGGAGCCTCAGGCTGCGAAGCAGCAGACCACGTGCTAATCTCAAGGAAGTGGAGCAGAAAGGAGCTTCCCTGAGCAGGAGGTTCTTGTATCTTTATCTTTGCTGCTGTCAAAGGGCAATAGCTGAGATTGCAGTGTCTTGGAAAGCCTCCATACAAGCTATCTCCCGAGGACATCAACAAGTCTGGAAAATCACATTCACTCTCTTGATAAAGGTTTCAGTGAACAAATGAACTCCATGGCAGTTTCCTAGGGAGCAATCGCCTCTACTGGCTAGAAATACACCAGCTTACATTTGAGTGAAGCCTTTGGCTTGCTTGAACCACAGGTACCACCTCGAGACGCACAAACCTGCTCTCCTGTTGAGGTTCACCACTGTTTCAGCTTGTCTGGCTGGTTTCTGCAGGGCAGAAATCAGGTAGGCTTTGTGGGGTGGTCATCCAAGTGCTGCCAAATCACTATCCAAGGGCAAGAGCTCTCAGACAAGCCCAGATTTTAACCAGCAAAGAAACTGGAGAGGAAACACTCCACAATTCAATCACTCTTCCTTTCCTGACCCATGAAAAGCAGCAGGACATGCCATCAGAGAAAGTCCACAAGCCTCTGACGTTTACTGCTACCTCTCCAACCAAAGACACCTCCACCGAGAAGTCACTACTGCATCAAAACCTGCAGTGTTACTGCAACGCAAGAGGTAGCATCTGGCTCCCTGCTCACTCCAGAGAGCAGCTATTTCCATGGGCATTATGGGAACATCATCTTTGGGACATTTATCTCTCTGTCTGCACACAAATATTCTCATTGGAAGAGCCCAAAGTCGGTCTCCAAACGCTGGCCCCCAGGCCACCTCACCAAGGAGGACACGATCTCCACCAAACCTGGCTGGGACCAGGCTGATGCCACTCAGGCTGATAAATATCTTGCTATGATTAAAAAAATAAAATAGAAATCCGTCAGGCTGTCTCAGGCTATGGTGGGAAAGGCTCCTTCTGCTCCCTGCCTGGGCTGGGGGTACCACCCTGCAGACCGTGGGCAGGGTGGGAGCTCCTCCCCAGCCGCCTGCGGTGAGCGCAGCAGAACACAAAGCCAAACTGCTTTTATGGCTTCGCCTGCCCAGATCCCCGGCTCTCGCCCATCCTGCCGGTCGGCCAGTCCACCGTGTTTGTTTTGGATGACCTTCTGCCAGACCAGAGCTTTGCACAGCGCGGCTCTTCTGCGCTGCCGGAGAGCGGATTTCCTGCCGTTTGATCTAAATTTGCCCGACGTTTCACTGAGCGCCTCCTGATTTCTTTCATCAGCCCCGATCTTTCCATCAGGGAGGTGGCCCCACAGCCCAGGGCTCTTTGGCAGGCAGCTGGGGAAGAGGCCTGGTGGCCAGAGAGCAAACGGTGCTGGTCCATGCCTCCTCTGGCCCTGGAGCTGGAGGGGTGCAGAGGTCCTTCCCTCCCTTCCCAGGCGGATCAAGCATGGACACGCAGTGCCCTCTGCTGCTCTGGCCACCGAGGGAGATGCAGGAAGGAGCAGCACAAAGGGCTCCGCAGCTTTGCAAACCTCAAAATGGGCAGCCAAGCCTCCAGCCTCCCCGCTAGCTCTTTGCTGGCAAGGCAGAGACAGTACATTTCTCTCCACTGGCAAATTGCCATTAAGCACAGCTCTTGGAGCAGCCCTTTCTGAAACTGAGCTGGTTGAAGAGGCCCAGGTGGTCCCATCAGCCAACTCCCATACCTGCAAGTTACAGCTACCTAGGCTTGAGCAATGCTTTCCTTCCCCATGCAGTTGGGAGGGGGGCAGCCTGGCAAGACAGGCAGAGCATTGAGGGACAAGACAATGTTCCTTTTCCCCTTGACTAGAGGCTCCTTTTCCCAAGAGAAATGTACTGCTTTATCTCAAAATAGTGGAAGGAACAGCTGCATAGGGAGCACAAGCTGGTGGTCCAAACTGTCCCAGGGAGCAGAAGAGCCTTACTGGGAACTGCACAGATCAGGTGTGAAACCAAGACATCGCCCATACCAGGAGCTCAGTGAATTACTGCTCTCGCTATAGAAGCCTTCCTGGGAACACAAAGATAGACATTAATTAATCAAGGGCCCAGAAAAGTCCTTTGCAACATCCCTGCTCGCAGGACTGCAGGAGATGTTAGCTGTAGCCCAGCACTGTTAGTTCACTACCAGATGACTTAGTGGCTGCAAGGATTGTTGGGTGTGCAAGTGCCTCTGCTGAGCTCTTCTGAACCAGCCAGGGGAATTGCAGAGCACGGGCAGTTTCCTGCTCCAAACTTGGGCAGAAAGAGCATCCCCACTGGTTTGGCTGGAGTTGGTAGAGCCCTGCTGAGGCCCTGCAGGCGTGCCAGACCTGGGTTGCTCCAGCACAGAGGAAGCAGAGAGCTTGGCACAGCCCCCAGACCACCCTGTGTCCCCACCATTGCACCAGAGCAAACCTGGAGTTGCCCCTGAAGCAGTGCCCAGCCATGGGACAGGCAGGACACCCATGGCTCAGAACAGCTCACACTAGAAGAAACCACTTTCTTCTTTTCCTCCACCCTGTCAAACCCTCTCCTTCTCCATTCCTTCCTTTGAGGGTGAGGAACCTCAAGCGAGGTTTAAAGGCCACAATACAGGCAGCAAAGTCCATTCCTAGTTAATACAATTCACTTTAAGAGATAAGGCCTATTAGCCTCCAGAGAATGATAGAGGTTTATAACGCTGGGAGCAATCTGACCCCCAGCAGGTTTACGTGGCACAAGCAATGTCCAGTTAGATAGTCATCTCCTGGTCCTGGACTGAGACCGGCTCCTTCCCCTGACTGCAAAGACTGCATATTCCTTATCTCTGCTGCAGGGGAAGGTCACCACTAACATGCAATGCATTCAAGTTTTGATTGTTTTCCCCTCTCCATTAATTTTTCCAGGACTTCTAGGTGAACAGGACAAAGCAATAGGAGAAAGATCTGGCAGAGTTTTGCACTTGATTCCAAGGCAGGGTTTCCTTCCTCCTCATTTCTAGCCACAGATTTTCTAGCACTGTCAGTCCCCTTTTTCTGGGTACCCACACGCCCTCTCTGCCATCGGTCCCTGCTTGTTACATACCACACTTACCATCCTCTTGGACAGAGACCTCTGCACTTTCGCACTGTGCCTCAGTTTCCCTGGTGCTCCTTCAGCTGAGACAATTGTCTCAGATAAGGGCTAATGTGAACAATCAAGTCTCTCCTGTAAAGCAAAGCATAATTTTAGAGGGGAGGAACACATGAAGTCACACACAGCATCAACACAGAGCCCAACTCAAAAACCTCAGTGCCTCTCCCAGGACCTCTCATTCAGTCTGACTTCTCTCATGAGCACCACTTGTGATGTTTTATGGATGTATCAGCCCAGGACACTCCTCCTTCCCCCAAAAGGCAGCCACCACTGCAGAAAGCCTTAATTTTTAAGAAGCATCCCAAAACCTGCACCTTTCAAGGTACTCCCATCCTTTAGCAGGGAGCTGGGGATACAGCTGAGGGTTGGGACAGGGGCACCACATGGACCCATCCCTGTTTCCATGACCCTCATACCCTTTTGCCAAACCCCACCTCTGGCCCCGGCCTGCTGAGAGCGCACAGCCGGTATCTCTGTATTGCACCTAATCAGGAGATACTCGGCCAGGAAAACCACCACTCCCTCTGTGCAGAGTATCTTCTTGTTATCTCACCCCCGCTGTAAAGTGCTGGCAGGAGAAATGCTGAATCAGGAGCGCTCAGCTGGAAGAAATTAATTTGTTTTTTAGCACTGGCATTTCCCTGTGCCAACTCAAAGTGTTTCTGCTCGGGGAGCAGAGGACAGCCCCAGCAAGCGCGGTTCAGTGTCTCTCTCCCCAGGGAATAGCTTGGTCCCAAACCAAAATGACATGTTGTGGAGCCAGGCAATGGGGAAGCCAAGGGGACCACACCTTTTGACAACTCAAAATTATTTCTTAGTACCTTCTGGCCTCTCCTTCACAGGCCTGCGACGAGGTGCCTTGGCTGCCAATGTTACTTGCAGCAAGCAGCACCCAGGAGCTCCCACCTGCACCCAGGGCCGATGCCAGCCCAGTTTTCTGTACCACTGATGCAGTTGCCAGCATGTTGTTAGCCCAGGGAGGTCAGCAAAACCCACGGCCACCCCTCAGGAGCCTGCCCCAGGCAGGCAAACAGCTCCCATTTCCCTGAGCTCAGCAGCCCTGCCTGATAAAGGATGGCATGGAGCAGAGAGAAAAGGAAAAGAAAATGCTTTCAGCACTGGCTCTTCTCCCATCAGATAGAGAGCGCACGGCCGCTCAAAGTCCCTGAGGTACAGCTCTGGGATGGCCTCGTGGCCCCGGGACACGGCCAAGCCAGGCAGTGACAGCTACAGGGAACAGCCTGGCTTTCCATCCCACCGGGGGCTCTGTGGGGCACAGGAGCAGTCCCTGAGCACGGGCAGATGTGGCCATGTGAGCCCCCCCCCCCCCCCCCAACATGCTGCACTCGGAAAACACCCACTGGCACTGGGGTGAGTTGGGGAGAGGAGGCATGACACTGCTGAAGCTCATGTCCCGGCCATGCCAAGCCTCTACCAAGGCTCAGCTGTGGGAGCAGCTCCATAGTGCCCCCAGTACGCATTCACAGCTGCATTCCCTGCCTCAGTTTCCCCAGCTGCCCAAATCATACCCCTGCAAGGCCTGGCAAGAGCCAGCCTGGGCTATTTTACATCTTGGGGCTACTCCAACTGTGACCAGCCCTGTGTGGGCAGCCCCACAGCAGCCTCTGCCAGGCAGATGGGAAGGCAGCAGGCAGAAAGGGGGTGTCCCTGCCTAGCCCCTTGCTTGCCTTTCCCAGCTGGACAGTCACAGGGAGCCAAGCTAGCCCAAGGCCGAGGAGCACCTCTACCAGGCACCCAATGCTGCTTGAAACTCTCCCCATTGCTGAGGGGGTCACTTTGTCCACGGTCCCCAAGCTGTCACCACGGCAAGCATCTCCCTGCCTGCCTGCGGTTCTCGCAGGGCGACATTGCCATCTGCTGCCTGCTGCTCGGCAGGACACGCCAGCCTGCCTCTGCCACCCAGGCCTGGCCCTCCTCCCTCCCAGCTTGAAGGGGGACCCTGCAGCCCCAAGTGCCACGGGGGCTGGGGCAGCACCCACACCACCACCTCCACGCCTTTTCACGGATCCCCCGCTGGCACCAAACCCCGTGGGCAGCACAGAGCCCACGGCTCCAGCCCAGCAGCAAGGAGGGCAAGGCAGCCGTGCTTCAGTCCCACCAAGCACCTCCAGGTCTTACTCAAGGGCCGTGTATGCTCGCCTGCAGCTAATGAACACACGAGTGACACAGGAGAGCAGTGTCCCAAACCAGGGCTGTGTCTCCTTGCTGACAGCCCGGCGTTGCAAGCACCAACCTTGCTGCTCTGAACAAAGACCCTGGCACGGAGCGCTGCCCTCGGCTCTGCTGGTGGCTCACCTGCTGAACGGGAACACACACCTCCAGCTCCCTCTGCCTTGGGTTCATCATCTGGAAACACAAAGATGCTATTTATTTAACAGCCACACCAAGAGACATCCACTTATTTTAAACTTTAAAGCACCTACATATTGTTTCTACAGCTTACGATAGAAGATGCCATCAATGGGAGAAGAGTAGTAATTATCTGCAGTTCAGAAGTTTAACCTCTAGAGAAGGAACTGCATTTCCAGCTATGCTTATTAAATGCTTTTAAGCTGATCTTTTCCAAGGGGCTGTGCAGTTTATAACTGAGATTACCCACCTGAGACAGGAGGTTTCCACAAGTTTGTACGTCTCCAACGCAGACTAAGGCTGATGGTTGCTCTGATCTTCGAGAGGGACAGGGCCACTGATGATGGCATGGTAACATGTTGCTGGAGGTCACTGCAGGCAAAAAAATAGAGGAAAAATGTGGATTCCCCTTCCCAGTTACTTACATGATGGTGGAGACTACCCCCAAAGCCTGGCTGAAAGTCAACAAGAGGCATCACACCAGGTGACTTCTGCAGGGGTCTAGATGACTTCTTACATGAACTTACAAACTCAGCAGTGCTTCTGAGGGAAACACTGTACAACACGGTTTCCTGCATTAACTGGTGGACAATGGTGTGGGGGGGAAAGTGGTTGGATGTGAGGGATCACTAACCATTACTCAGAAAGTAGTGAGAGCTGAGGAGAGCTCTAGTGCAAATAGATGCGATCCTTGTTATCGATTCCAGCTTTACATCCGAACAGCAGTTGGATCCACTGAAGTGGGACCTGCCAAAATACAGAGCGCTTGAGGACCAGACAAGCCCAGCAGGCCCAGAATGCTGATGGCTCTGCTTTGAAATTTGAAATTCACTGGTAGGATCTGAGACGATCAAATGCTGCGCAATACACTCAAAAAGAAAAGTTATCCAATATGTGGGACCCAGCCCCAGGACTGGGGGGGCTTGCTTTGTAGGTTGTCTGCCACGGCAGACATTGGAAACAAGAGAGGACCACAGGAGTGTCAGTATTAAAAATAGTCAGAAAGAATAAATAAAGTCTAATTTTAATGTGTCCCCCCCCATCTCCAAACAAGAGAAAATGCTTTTCTTCATGGGTATTGCTATGTCTCCTGTTATCAACAGTGAGCACAAATTTAACAAGTGCATCTGCCACCTCCACTTTGGGGCTACAGTGAGTTATCACAAGAAATCAGTAACGTTCACACTCCAGGATGCTGAGATTCACCGAGGTGTCTGAGCTCACTCTGCTGTCAGGTCCTAAAGGGTGAAAAAAGGCACAGCCAAAACCAGCACAGGATCACCAAACGGTGAGAGAGACTTGAGGGAAGCCGGGAGCCAGTGGACAGGCCACTTGGCCTCACGCCTTGGTGCTGGTGTGCCCGTGGCCACGAGGGTCGGCGTGAATGGGTGAAATCAGAGCAAAATCACCTTCCCCTCCCATCAGACCTGGCACGGAGATTCGGTGTGCCGATGCTAAACGCGGCAGTATCATTTCCTACATTTACCGCCCACGTGGCCTCAGACACCCAGCCTGCCCAGCAGCTGCCCCCAGATCCCAGTCTCTCCAGTTGCTGGCACCTGGATGTGCCACAGCCCCAGTACAATTGTGGCACAGACCCCCAGCAGCTGGCTTGGGGTATCCCCAAAAAACGGGGATGTCCATGCCAGAAGTGCTCAGGAGGGCTGCTCCAGCTGCCTTGTTTTCTTGGCCCATGGGGCTGGGGGTCTCCTGACACGGCCCCTAGGGAGCCCAACCAGGGTGCCCCCTCCTCTAAGCCTGTAATTTGGGGGTCCCATCTGCCTTTGTGTCTCTGACAGGTCCTGTAATGGACCTGGAGGCAGCTTGGACAGGGCATTATTTGGGCTTCCTCCCACTGCTGCTTCTCTGTGGGCAGGCAACACAACGCTTATCCCATAACCTAACACTGGTAACCAGGGAAAATACCAGGTGGACCTCAGATCAGTCCAGGGGACTGCAAGGAAAAAGGGAGGACTTCAGAAAGTAAAATAAAATCTAAAAAAAATGCACTCACCTTACTTAGATGGATTACCTCACTTAGATTTTGTGACATCTTTTTCTTCTTAAATCACCGTTTTCTCACCCAGGTTGTATGACTTTGTGCTTTCTTAGTATATGGCCTCTCATAAGGCTTTTTCCCAGCTGTATCTTCAGCACAGAGCTCTGCTGCATTGAGAAACCAGCCCGGGAGAACACGTTACTCACAGACCCAAGCAAGGAGGACAGTTTGTTGTATTTTTCCCTGACATTTATCCCCTATTTCAAGATTCTGAAGGGGAGAGCAATATTCATCAAAATTTCCTTTTTCTTCCACAATATTTCTTTTCCTTTCAGGCTGGCCATAGCAGTATGCCTGCCCTATGCAGGGAAAGAGCTGTGTATGCAGACAAACAGCCCCCTCAGATACACCAAAACACTCAGCACAGCCAGAGGGGACCAGCAATACCAGGGCTCATACCAGCCCAGCACTAATTCTGGCAACCTGTGTTAGAGAGGGAACTCCAGCCCTGGTCCCTGCTCTCTTTATAGCTTGCAAACAGGCCTCAGCTGGTCCCAATGATGATGCTTCTCTCACTGTAACGAGCTGAACCTGCCTCCAGCCTCTGCAGATCCCTTGCCATGACTTTCTCTTGCCCTCTGGTTTTTAAGCCATCCCCAGCTTGTGCTCTGTGACAGCTTCCCTACGGGTTTAAGTCCTACCACTATTCCCCGACCCAAGCTAAATCTCTTTGCTTTGCCAAGATGCTGCCAAGACCCGGCGAATGGTTTTTGCTGGTATAGTGTGGTTTGCTCCAGTGCAACAGGAGGCCACAAGATGGGAATAAAACTACTGGGAGGAGGACTTCGGACTACCAGGAGCAAGGATGCTAACGTATGGAGAATACTGTTTGGGGAAACCTGCTCATTTCCATCACATCCCCGCAATAAATCATGGTTTCAGCCCCTAGGAGAGCAACAGTGCCCTGCTGAAGCAGTCTGCTCATGGATGCTCACATATGCCGTCACTCGGCAGAGGCCTCGTGGCCCAGTTGGCTCTGACTCCAAGGAGAAATGGGTTTGAATGTCTCTGGTTTCCTGTGAGCGCCACAACATTAATTCCTTCGAGTTACTGGATCTAGAGCCATCTCGGAGACACATGCTTTCGTTTAGCGCGTGCAAGTCATCCAAGAGAGGAAAACCAGAGTAAATGAGCACCCAGGGAACAGGCAGTGGGATGGCGACAGCTTTGTCATGCATCTACCTGGTGAGTGGTACTGTGCTCTGAGACATCCTCAAGGTGCAGCCCGGGGTAACTACTCCTTCCCACGTGCTCCTTCCAGTACCTGAAAGCAGGATCCTATTCTCATATTTTCACATGCAAAGCCCTGATGGGCAGCACAGGACTGAACACTGCTCTATAGTGTTTTTGTTGAAATATTACCTGTTGCCAGGACTTTTTGGGATTTAATTTCTGCTAATCCCAAACAAAACAACTGTAGGGAGGGAGTCCTTGGTGCTGCAATCGCCTACAAAGTGAGATAGCTCAAAACAAGGGGAAAAGTATGATTCCGATGCAAGAGAAGAGACAGAAATCCCCACTGTAAGGACGGGAAAACTAAGCAGCATGTCCAAGACAGGCAGTAGGAGAAGCAGGGAGAAAATATCCCTGTGGGGGAGCTCCCACACTGGGGAGAGACAAAACCACACACGCTGGACTTGTCAGGAGGAAGAAAACACTTGTGTGGTGGCCAAGGAACAATCAGATGGCAACAAGCTCATCTTTAATGAGAAGAAAAGCAGGGATTTAATGCAACGCACTGAAGAGTTGAAGGTCACAGCATGAAGTCCTGGGAGGAAGGCAGGGGAAAAGCACCCAGTGAGTGCTACTGGCGCTGGGGCTCTCTCCAGCAGAAGTGGAAATAGCATCTAAAAGCCAGGAAAAAGGCAAAAGCCTCCTGCTAGGCACAGCGGGAGGCACAATTCAGCAGCGGCTGGTGCTCTCCATCGCAGGTGGGGAGGAGGAGAGGGGTAGGGCTCAGGCAGGCAGGGCAGCCCTGCTGCATTCCTCAGGCGGCTCTCCTCGATGCAGGCAGCAAGGTTGGGGTGAGGAAAGAGGTCCCACCTCCAGAGGCTCTGCAGCTGCTCGGCAGGCTTGCACGGGATGCTCTGCACCAGCCCCTCCTCATGTCCCATGCGGGGGCCCTGGGGGGCTCCTCCTGCCGGGCTGGCTGCCCCCCCATGCTCACCCGTTAAGGTAAGGCTCTCCCAGTTGAAGCTGGGAGCTGGGGGGGAGGCGGGCAGGCAGGCCTGAGGGTGAAGGGAGGCAACGTGGGTGGGGGGGAGAGGGCAAGAGACCGCTGGGGTTCTGTCCCCTTCTGCGACGAGACCTCCAAACGCTCCTGGCATCACCGTGCAGCCCGAAGGGTGGATTAGCATCTTTGGAAAGCTGTTTCGGGGAGGCAGGCTGGCTGCCGCGGGGTGTGTGAGGGGCTTTCCTGGAGCTGCTCTCCCACCTCTCCACAGCAGTGGGCTGCAGCAGGCTGGGCAGCCCCTACGCCACTTTCCCCCTGGGGAGCAAGGAAATAGATAAAAGCAGCATTGGCATTTCCCACCGCTCGCAAGCGCTGTCTCTGTCAGCAGCAGGCTTGCTCAGGCTCTGCCAGCTGGCTTCAAACTATCCAGCAGCCTCTGAACAAGGGTGCTGGGAGGATACTGGTAAATCAACATCCCAACACCTTTTGTCAGTGAGAGGAAGGGGGCTCCTCCCTTTCTCTGCTGGGGTTTGCAACCGGTTTTGCCTTCCTGAGAAGCAACTGCTCAGATGTCCTCCTTCCCGGCCTTGCAGCAGGATGGGGAGCAGATACACCACTGCTCTTCAGACTCCTCGCACAGCATGAGCTCCTTGGGCCATTTCACCCGCGTGCGTGAGAGCAGGGCAGAGCCCGCTGACCTGCTTGCAAAATTGCAAAGGGCACTGGCAAAACTAAAACTGTCGCGGGCCAGACCTCCCCTCCTCGGCATGTCTGGCTCATATGAGTATGAACAAAACCCACTGGTTGCTGGCTGCCTCTGGCTCGTGGCCAGGGTCTGGTTTTAACCCTCTTTAAATGTTCTGCATAAAAGAGGGGAGTAGAAATGTGGTTGCCCTGCTGCTTCCGTGCCTAGGGGCAGGAGGCAGCTCGGCCTGCCCACATCGGCTGCCGGCAGCACGTGGGGCATCTGCTCTGCTCAGCCAGCCCCGGGGGCTGTGGGGCAGCTTTCCCACCTTCACCATTCCAGCTCCAAGATTTCCTTGGTTTCTCACCCTCTTGCTATTTTTATTTCTCTGGAAACATTCTGTGTGGCCAGGCGACTTGTATTAAGACCGTATTTT